ACAGCACATCAAAAAGCTTATCTACCACAATGAAGTAGGCTTCATCCCAGGGATGCATGCCTGGTTCAACATACACAAATCTATAAACATAATCCATCACATAAACAGAACCAAAGACAAAAACCACATGATTATCTTAATAGATGCAGAGAAGGCCTTCGGCAAAATTCAACAGCCCTTTATGCTAAAAACTCTCAATAAACTAGGTATCGATGGAACGTATCTCAAAATAACAAAAGCTATTTACGACAAACCCACAGCCAATATCATACTGAATGGACAAAAACTAGAAGCATTCCCTTTAAAAACTGGCACTAGGCAAGGATGCCCTCTTTCACCACTCCTATTCAACATAGTATTAGAAGTTCTAGCCAGAGCAATTAGGCAAGAAAAAGAAATAAAGAGTATTCAGTGAGGAAAAGAAGAAATCAAATTGTCCCTATTTGCAGACAACATGATCATATATTTATTTATTTATTTATTTATTTAATTTTTTAAAATTTGTGATCATATATTTAAAAGACCCCATCATCTCAGTCCAAAACCTCCTTAAGCTGATAAACAACTTTGGCAAAGTCTCAGGATACAAAATCAATGTGCAGAAATCACAAGCATTCCTATATACCAACATCAGACAAACAGCCAAATTACGAGCAAACTCCCATTTGCAATTGCTACAAAGAGAACAAAATACCTAGGAATACAACTAACAAAGTATGTAAAAGATTGCTTCAAGGAGAACTACAAACCACTGATCAAGGAAATAAAAGAGGACACAAACAGATGGAACAACATTCCACGCTCATGGTTAGGAGGAATCAATATTGTGAAAATGGCCATACTGCCCAAAGTAATTTATAGATTCAATGCTATCCCCATCAAGCTACCACTGACCTTCTTCACAGAACTGGAAAAAAACACTTTAAACTTCATATGGAGCCAAAAGGGAGCCTGCATAGCCAAGACAATCCTAAGAAAAAACCTGGAGGAATCACGCTACCTGACTTCAAACTATACTACAAGGCTACAGTAATCAAAACAGCATAGGACTGGTACCAAAACAGAGATATAGACCAATGGAACAGAACAGAGGTTTTGGAAACAATGCCACACATCTACAACCATATGATCTTTGACAAACCTGACAAAAACAAGCAATGGGGAAAGGATTCCCTGTTTAATAAATGGTGTTAGGAAAACTGGCTAGCCATATGCAGGAAGCTGAAACTGGACCCCTTCCTTATACCTTATAGAAAAATTAACTCCAGTTGGATTAAAGATTTAAACATGAGAACTAACACCATAAAAACCCTAGAAGAAAACCTAGGCAAAACCATTCAGGACATAGGCCTAGGCAAGGACTTCATGACTAAAACACCAAAAGCAACAGCAACAAAAGCCAAAATAGACAAATGGGATCTAATTAAGCTTCAGAGCTTTTGCACAGCAAAAGTAACAATTATTAGAGTGAACCAGCAACCAACAGAATGGGAAAAAATTTTTGCAATCTACCCATCTGACAAAGGGTTAATATCCAGAATCTACAGAGAACTAAAGCAGATTTACAAGAAAAACAAGCAAACCAACCCATTCAAAAGTGGGCAAAGGATATGAACAGACATTTTTCAAAAGAAGACATATATGCGACCAACAAACATGAAAAAATGCTCATCATCACTGGTCATTAGAGAAATGCAAATCAAAACCACATTGAGATACCATTTCACGCCAGTTTGAATGGCGATCATTAAAATATCTGGAGACAAGAGATGCTGGAGAGGATGTGGAGAAAAAGAAACACTTTTACACTGTTGGTGGGAATGTAAATTAGTTCAACCATTATGTAAGACAGTGTGGCGACTCCTCAAGGATCTAGAAATAGAAATTTCATTTGACCCAGCAATCCCATTACTGGGTATATATCCAAAGGATTACAAATTGTTCTGCTATAAAGACACATGCACACATACGTTCACTGCGGTGCTATTTACAATAGCAAAGACCTGGAACCAACCCAAATGCCCATCACTGATAGACTGGACAAAGAAAATGTGGCAAATATACACCATGGAATACTATGCAGTCATGAAAAATGACGAGTTCATGTCCTTTGTAGAGACATGGATGAATCTGGAAACCGTCATTCTTAGCAAACTGACACAAGAACAGAAAACCAAACACCGCATGTTTTTACTCATAGGCGGGTGATGAACAATGAGAACACTTGAGCACAGGGAAGAGAACAACACTCACTGGGCTAGGTTAGGGAACGGAGGGTAGGGGAGGGAAGGGACATGTATCAAATAAAGATTTTATATCTTGAATATACTAAGAACCCCTGGCCGGGCCCAGTGGCTCACGCCTATAATGCCACCCCTTTGGGAGGCCGAGACAGGTGATCACCTGATCAGGAGTTTGAGACCAGCCTGGCCAACACGGTGAAACCCCATCTCTACTAAAAATACAAAAATTAGCTGGGCGTGGTTGTGGGTGCCTGTAATCCCAGCTACTTTGGAAGTTAACGCAAGACAATCACTTGAAGCTGGGAGACAGAGGTTGCAGTGGGCCGAGATCAAGCCATTCCACTCCAGCCTGGACAACAAGAGCAAAACTCCATCTCAGAAAACAAAGACAGTAATAAAAAAACACTAAGAACCCCTAAAATTCAACAAGAAAGAGACAGCCCAAATATAAAAATGGGAAAGGTAATATACATTTCTCCAAAGAAGATACACAAATGACACTTGAAAAGATGCTCAATATCATCAGTCATCAGGGAAATGCAAACAAAAACCACACTAAGATATCACTTAACATCTAGTATGATGGCTATAATAAAAATAAGTGGAAAACAAAAGGTGCTGTTGAGGACATGAAGAAACTGGAACACTCATACATTGCTGGTGGGAATGGAAACGGTACAGCTGCTGTGGTACAGTTTGGCAGTTCCACAAACACACACAAAATACTATAGGAACTGGCAATTCCACTCCTAGGTACATACTCTAAACTGAAAACAGGGACTCAATCAGATACACATCAGTGTTCATGGCAGCATCGTTCACAATAGTCAAAAGTGGAAACAACCCATGTGTTCATCAACAGACGCATGAATAAACAAATTATGGTTTATACATACAATGGAATATTATTCAGCTATAAAGAAGAATAAAGTTCTCACACATACTGCAATATGGATGAAGCTCAAAAACAAATAATATAAGCTAGAAACAAAAGGACAAATATTGTTTGACTCCATTTCTATGAATATCTAGAAATATCTAAGCAAATTCATAGAGATGAAGGGAGATTACAGGTACCAGGACTGGGAGGAGGGTGAAATGGGGGTTAATGTTAATGGGTACAGCGTTTCTACTTCGGGTCATGAAAATATTTTAGAAGTAGATAGTGGTAATGTGTAAATGTTAAAAGTAATTAAAACAGCAAATTTGATAAATTTTTTTTAGCTCATACTCATGTACACACACACAAATGCACATAAAAAAAAACATACTTTGGGCCGGGCGCGGTGGCTCAAGCCTGTAATCCCAGCACTTTGGGAGGCCGAGGCGGGTGGATCACGAGGTCAAGAGATCGAGACCATCCTGGTCAACATGGTGAAACCCCGTCTCTACTAAAAAAACTACAAAAAATTAGCTGGGCATGGTGGCATGTGCCTGTAATCCCAGCTACTCAGGAGGCTGAGGCAGGAGAATTGCCTGAACCTGGGAGGCAGAGGTTGCAGTGAGCCGAGATCGCGCCATTGCACTCCAGCCTGGGTAACAAGAGCGAAACTCTGTCTCAAAAAAAAAACAAAATAAAACAAGAATGAAGAAAAAATACTTTGGTATATCTGTCAAATAATGATCCTAGACCCCAGAATGAGACTTTACAGAAGTAGAAATCAGAGAAAGTCTGTGTTCTGCAATATTTAATTCTATAGCAATGCAAGCCATAAGACTCATAAAAACAGTGTGCTAAGAATTCTAAAAAAGTAACATGTAAGTTAAAGCAAAGTAATTTTTCTTTCTTTTTTTTTTTGAGACAGGATCTAGCTCTGTCACTCAGGCTAGAATGCAGTGGTACAATCTCGGCTCACTGCAACCTTTGCCTCCTGGGCTCAGATGATTCTCCCACCTCAGCCTCCTGAGTAGCTAGAACTACAGGACTGCACCACCACACCTGGCTAAGTTTTTTATTTTTTCTAGAGACAGGGTTTCACCATGTTGCCAGGGTGGTCTCAAACTCCTGGGCTCAAGTGATCCACCCACCTTGCCTCCCAAAGGGCTAGAATTACAGGCGTAAGCCAACAAAGCCTGGCCCACAAAATCATATTCTTTCTCATTTTTTTAATATTCCGAGAAGTTCAATAAATAAAACAATTTTCATATTTGAATCTTAACCCCCCCACACACACACACGCATACTCACTCTCTCTCTCCTATGCAAGTGACTATAAAACGACTGTGGCCTCTCTCTCTCTCTCTTTTTTTTTTTTTTTTTTTTTTTTTTTTTTTTTTTTT